TGCTAGCATGTAAATAGATATATCCCCATACAACTAGCCATGCTTACTCTGTGCAAAGGCCAGCTGTTTTACAGAGCTGCTTGCCCAATCTGGCCTGTGTTTTTTTATTTGATTTGATATTTATATCCTGCTTCCCCTCAACCATGGGGACCAAACACAGCTTATCACATTGTTCTCCTCACCTCTGTTCTCACAACAACCCTGTGAGGTAGGTTAGGCAGAGAGATTGTGATGGGAAGAAGGTTGTCTCTGAGTTTCCATGGCAGTGTGGGGATTTGAATCCAGTTATCCCTGGTACTTGTTGTCTTCCATTGTAACCATTGTGCCACACTGGCTCTCAGAATAAAGTTTTTAAAAAATATATATTTTTAAACATTTTATTGTATTTAAGAAAGCAGTAAGCCAAAGAATATGATTCCAGCAGGTTACAAGAGGAGATAAAAGGGTAGATTTTAAAACATCAACATAACATCTTACTCATTAATTAACACAACCTCTGTGCACTGGAATTTTCTCATGTAAGCTTGAGCACCTAGGTTTATACTTAGCAGCATGTATTAGGCACCATATTACTAAAAACACCTTTGACTTTCACATTACACATCAGAATAAAGTTAGAAAGCACATGAACTGTAACTATATTGAAACTGAGTAGATCTTAGTCTGATCAATACCTGGATAGGAGATCTAGGAATCCAATGAAGCACTGCTTTGAATTCCAGAATGGAAAATGGCAGGCTCTACATGTAATAAATATGTGTACAAAATGTCCAGCAACATGAAAACTCTGATCTTTATTGTGGTCTATTATTGCATCATGTAGGCATCATATAAAAAAGTAAAAATTGGAACAAAGTTTGAGTCCAGTGGCACCTTTAAGACCAACAAAGTTTTATTTGAGCTATAGGCTTTCGTGTGCATGCACACTTCTCCAGATGTCTGGATATGCCAGACATGCATTTCATCAAAGTAAAATATGATGGCCTCATAAGTTAAACAGTTCCCCCACCTTGTGGCTAAATTGAATATTACTACCAAGGCCTTTGCATTAAATAAGCAAAGCAAATATATGCATATGATCCTTAAATGTTCTACTTGCACTTGTTGTACAGTGATTACCATTATCTCACCTTATGTTGTTGTAGTGCTCCAAAAATATCTTTGTTCTGCCACTTGTCTAAGCAACCACGTTACCATCCAATGATTCCAGACCACAGATGCTGTAAAACAAAGTAGGACAGCTGTTGGTAAAATATATCTTCATAGGGCTAGGCCTCTGTTTACTGCAATGTTGTGTATTCTTTCTGGTATGATAAAACCTATTCACTACAAAAGGGACAAAAAGCATACACTCAACGAGATGGAGAATATTAATTCACTCTGGATAATCTAGCAAAAATAAAACGATGTACCATTTTCAGAGAGGAGTAGCTTGTTCTTAGAGCTCAATTTTATCAGCTCTCTCAAAATGATATTGAAAATATCACAGTATCTACTTTATTCTGTTGCAAAACTTTGTCCCTGCTTGTGAGTGAGGATGGAAATGGGGGGAGGGAATTGGGATTTATATTCTACTAATTCCCTTTTAATTGAACAATTTTTAAAAGGACTATTGGTCTGACCCAGCATGGCTGTTTTGGTGTTCTTTTATTCACACTAGTAATGCCTGATCAATATTTGTCATCTTATTTTAGGTTCTTAGGTTCCTTCTTAATCTGCCAAGATGAGCTCCACTTTCCCTCTTCCTCCATTGTGTCCTGTCATCATCATCATCAGTCATCATCATCATCACATTTGTGCCCTCCCCTCCCCTCAATGCAGGCTCAGGGCGGCTCACAGTAATCCATAAATACAGTTAAAAGAACATAAAATCATATAAGAACAATTCTGTTATTAAAACAGTTTCATAAAGTGCTGAAAATATATTCAAGATGGCTTATTTCGGTGCACCTTCTAAGAATCAATCTGCTTGAGCTCTTCCTACAGCACAGGCTAGTTGTTCAAGACCAAGTGGCGGCTCCCTAGCTGAAAGCCTATACACTTCCATGATGTGTATATGTGTTAAGTGCCATTTATGATTATAACTACATAAACAGAAATCAATCATGAATATGTATTCAGATATTAACTTTGATTCATTGCTTAAATGCATGATGGGAGAATGAGAATGCTAACATACCACAATTCTGCTAAGGCTTGTGGCCTTGACTGCCCAGTTACAGCTGCACATGTTTCTATCACTTAGCTTAACTAAAGGAACAATACTACCCCGTGACCATATCAGTTATATTGATACTTTTTAGAGCTACATAGTCCCAAGAAGAAGTGGCTATTGTTTAATTAAAAGGTAAATAAACCCTTTACTTGGGAAAACCCAACCCATAGGTTTTAGGCCAATGAGAAACAGGGGACAAAGTTGTGACGAAGTTTGGTGTAGTGGTTAAGTGTGCAGACTCTAATCTGGGAGAACCGGGTTTGATTCCCCACTCCTCCACTTGCACCTGCTGATGTGACCTTGGGTCAGTCACAAGCTCTGGCACAGCTGTTCCTGAAAGAGCAGTTTGTGACAGAGTTCTTTCAGCCCCACCCACCTCACAGGGTGTCTGTTGTGGGGAGGGGAAGGGAAAGGAGTTTGTAAGGCGCTCTGAGACTCCAAGTGAAGGGCGGGGTATAATTCCAATCTCTTCTTAGTCTATGGAACCAATAGATATGCTTTGTTTGTTTGATGTCATATTGAGTATAAAATCCTATGTCACCCATTGTAACACTCGAAGAGTCGGTTGGGTATTCAGGGGTTCCAAACCTTGATATCTGTACTCTTTCTTTATTAATTAATAAATATTAGTGTTTCCTCTCTACAGAACTGCTGCATGTGTTTTCTCAAACTGGGTTGGGAAAAACACTGCCAGGGACAGAATTCCTGTCTAACAATAGTGAGGACACTTCTGGGCAACCCCCCCCCCGGCCCCACCCACTTTCTAAAAGCACTAGAGATGGCACCCATGGGTGCTGTGTTGGGAATCCTTGCTTTACGGAATTACATCCCTTCTCTGAACTACTCCACTAATATCCAGGAATTTCCCAACCTGGAGTGGCAACCCAATGATCTGGGGTACATGCAGACTGCCATTTGATAAAACGAAGCAGCCTTCTCTTTACTAGTTTATAAATCCTTAAAGTAATATGGCCATTCAAGTAACAACACACACTCAACAGCCTGGATATAATTTTGTCCTTCTAACATTCCAACCAACCTCACCCTCTTGCCTCGTCCCTCCCTCACACACAGGGTTTTCCCTTGGTTTCTTCTTTCTTCCTGAACAGCCCCTATATCTTCTTATTTGTAGGTCTATGGCTGTTCCACCATGTCACATTATTATATATTTCGATGCTGGCCCAAGCCAGGGACCTGAGGGAAGAGACAAAACCACCTGCTAATATTCTACTCCCCTTCCGCTGCGATCAGGGAGTCTGGACCTCCTCGAGGTTCCAGGCCCCCGGGACATCAAGCTTGCCCTAACCAAGGCCAGGGTTTTTTCGGTGGCGGCTCCTACCTGGTGGAACGAGCTCCCGGCGGAGATCAGGGCCTGCGGGACCTTGTACAGTTCCGCAGGGCCTGCAAGACGGAGCTCTTCCGCCAGGCTTTTGAGTAGGAGCCGCCGCCGCCGCCACTATACCACCATCGTGGCGGATTTACCACCTACCTGGCTTTGGACGGGGGTAGTCGCCGCCCAGAAGAGGAACACCACCCTGGCGCTCCTGCGTTTATACCATCGGCCGCCAGTGAGGGACATCTACCATCTTGAACTTTTAAAATGAACTGTATAGCACCATTTTAGTTTGTATTTATCGAGGTTTTAATGTAATCTATGTTTTATTTCCGGCGTTGCCGCTTGTTTGCCGCCCTGGGCCGTACGGGTAGGGCGGGATATAAATCCCAAAATAAATATAAATAAATAAATAAATACTCCTGTAATGGCACAGGAGAGGCATTTGAAGTTCAAAAATAAATAAAATACTTTAACTTGGAGGGGGAAAGGTCAAGTGGAATCAGGGGTGGGAAATACTTGGAGATTTTGGGGGTGAAGCCTGGGAAGGGTAGGGTTTTAGGACGGGAGGGGACCTCAGCAGTGACCTCAGCATACAGTCTACCCTCCAAAGCAGCCATTGTCTCCAGGGGAACTGATCTTGGTCAGCTGGAGATCTCCAGGTGCTACTTGGAGACTGGCAACCCTAGTAACCTGTGCCTCTTTATTAATACGAGCCACTCTTGGAAACAATTGTCTAAAATGTGGGATATAACTACAGCTAGGAAATATTACTAAATCTGTCGAAAGCAGATTCCTTGTTCACGATCTCACTTGATGCAACATGTGTGAGCCAGAATGACAAGAGACATAGCCAGTTTACGAACTCTTTTAGCTTTTTAATGATCCTTATCTTGTATATTTTGAATAGCGCTTTGACCTTAAAGCTATTTATTTATTTAGTGGTTTAATTTGTACCCCGCCCTCCCCGCAAAGCAGGCTCAGGGCGGCTCACATCAATCAATACACAATTTAACACATAAATACCATTTAAATCTACATAAAATCATCTAAAACAGTTCAGGTTATAAATTTTTCTACAGAGTCTAAGTGTGCCCACTCGCCCGCCCCTCTGCACCACCCGTAGAAGCGTCCTTGACCCTTTTTAAAATGGCGGGTGAATAAAACCACAACCCCCAGCAAGCCAAGGGCAAACGCGACGTTCGTTATGTGAAACTTCTTAGAACTTAGAACCCTCAGCTCCTTCTGAACCACATCCCTTGAATGGGCTATCTAGGAAGAGGGTCTATGTCAAACTACCAATTGCAGTTACGGTCGTAGGCTATGCTGGGAATTGTAGTCTTGGAAGTGAGGCAAACGAGAGAAGTGTGCCTCCACTGCGTCTGCGTGCACGGGCTTGCTCTCAAGCAGCCCCCAGTGCGTGGCAGGAAGCGGAAGGGGGCCGGGAAGGCTCAATTAACTGACGTGTCTCTCTGGGCGTAGGGAATTGGAGCCAGCGGTACCGTTTGCTCTTTCCTTTTTCCGCGTCGAGAGCGGCCGAGATGGGGAGTGAGTATCCGCGTGGGGTTGGCGTTTACAGGGGATGGAAGGCGGGCAGTGAGTCGGTCATTTCACTTGAGAGACGGTGAAGTAGAGACAAAGGAGAACGGGGATCGTTTCCTCCAGTGGGCGTGAGGAAGGAGCCCAGCCGGCTGAGGCAGGGGCGGCGGGACTCCGCTGCTGGAATAGGTGAAATGGCGGCCCGGTGCAGTGGGAAGATGCCAGGGGCTTGCAGTGTAGAAGGGCGGCTAGGAAGAGGAGGTTGTGCGGTCACCTTTTTGGGAGCCGGTAGTAGATGCGTGGGGCCTTTAGGAAAAATCCTTGGCGTCCGGGATCAGTGACTTGGTGTTGCATGCCCGTGGTTTGGGCAGAGTATGGGACTGTGCAAGATAGTCGCTGAGTGGGGGAATCTCCAGATGCTGTCCATGGGATGTCCTGTAAGTAGTAGTAATATATGTGGCACATCTCCAGTTTGGGGAATGGTTGACACGCATTGCCTTTGCTTAGCCTCAGGTGCTTAGGGTTGTCTGGTGTTATCGTCCCCTGAGGCTGGCTGTTCGCTTGGTGGCTGAGGTGAAGGTTGACTCCTTGGCTTGTGCTCTTGGTTACTCTGCTCCGTTGTGCTAATTATAATATTTTCCGTAGGAAACTGGCCATCGTCAATCTGGCGTTAGAAAATATTAAATCACTGTTTATGTAGGAAGCATAAAAGTTGGAAGATAAAACCTTCTAATATATTGAAATCATTAATGTGTATGTGCATCTTAGTGTGACAGTGCTACAGGATGATGAATTTTCCCTGCCTTCTCCTGTTTTCCCCATGAGCTTGTCTAACATGTTGCCTGCAATTTAAGGACAGAGAAGCAATAGTGATTCGCAAAACCAAACTGGTCTCCACCCAGGTGGCATAGTAGCAGTATTTTAACAGAACCATGCTTTCTCTGTGCTAGTAGTTGTTTATCTTTTTAACAGTGTGTTTGTCTGCTTTATAACAATTTTGCAGTGGTCTGTTTGTGTTTTGATATTGGCTTCACCATAGTACAGTGTACTAATGTTTTTAATTACCTTAAACTATTTGGATTGGATTCTGCCTATTATTTCTTCAAGCATGAGAAGGAGCAATTTTAGCTGATTTCCTCATTCAGTGGGTGATCTCTAATTTCTTCCTTCCAGGCTATTCCTGGGTGCTTTGGTGGATATTGCAGGCTCTTGTAAGAGGGTGGAATTGGTGAAAATAGCCCCTCCCTTTCACCATGGGAAATTCCTGGCAGAGTCCAAGCCACTATAACTTGTAAATCAGTAATTTGCTCTAGGCTCTCTTTATTTTAGGATTTTTATCTGTGTTGCTGGTCAGTTTTTTTCTTGTCAATGCATAGGTATTTTTTCCCTAGTGATCTTCCTAGTCTCTAACACCCTGAAAGTGGGAAGCCAGTTTCATTTGGTTATCAGGGAGTAGGTTGCCTATGAGTTAAATGATCTGAGGGAGATGGTTTATTTTTAATAACTAGAACTTTACTGTAGTGTAATCATCAGTGCTCCTGTCACAGTGCCCTTACAAAGTCATTCTTGGTACCAGGTGAAGGTTAGCACTAGGGTTGATTAGGTTTGTCAGTTTTTTTAAGTTACAGAGATTTGGGGAGAGCTAAAACAGCAAATCACCTTAGACTACACAGCTCAGTGCAATCTGTGCATTGTTACTGCAGTCTAACCTGATTGGTGTCAATGGATTTGGCCCCTAGGATTGCACTGTCAGTCATTTGCACATATTTACTTGTGTGTAAAATGTTTATAAAGGTGATTTTAGCCTTGGCCCCAGCCTGGTAGATCATGCTTCCAACTGAGATTGGGGCCCTGCAGGACTTATTGCAGTTCCGCAGGACCCATAAAATGGAGCTGTTCCACCAGGCCTTTGGTTGAGGCAGTGGATGTCAAAGAACATCTCCCCTGCTTTAAGTGATCCCTGGCGCTATTTACATCATGGGTGCCAGGAGGGACTGACCTATCCTAGCTTGCACTGAAATGAGAAACGATTCGCCAGGCATCTAGTAGGTTATTTTAAATCAGTAGTTAAGTTTTTAATAATTACTAATAATGTCTTAATTAATTGTTTTAATTAATTTAATGTATGTTCTGTTGGATGCTGTGTTGTAAACCACCCTGAGCCCAATTGTGGGGTAGGGTGGGATAAAAATCCCAAAAATAAAATAAATAAAAATAAACTGACTCTAATGAAGCCTTGATTTGACTGTAAGATTTAAACATAAAGCTGCCTAAAGAGCCAGCATGGTGCAGTGGTTAAGAGTGACCGGCCGTAATCTGGAGAACTGGGTTTGATTCTCCATTCCTCCACATGAAGCCAGCTGGGTGACCTTGGGTCAGTCACAGTTCTCTTAGGGCTCTCTCAGCCCCACCTGCCTCACAGAGTGTCTGTTTTGGGGAGAGGAAGGGAAGGCAATTATAAGCCGCTCTGAAACTCCTTCAGGTAGTGAAAGCAGGGTATAAAAACCAATTCTTCTAAATGTATATGCTTTCCATTAAGCCGCAGTATTCAAATAGTGACATACCATGTTGCTATTGCATTGAAGATGAGTGGGAGCAGGAAATATTTTTGTTAGTTCAGAGTTGTAGCTGAGATAGAATATGAAGTTGAACATAATTGACTTAATCAAGGTGGCTGTATGGGGATGAGTTTGAACCCAGGTATTTTGTATCAAAGCCTAAGATTCTAGGTTGGTGAATTTGCGAGTACTCTGTAGTACTGTCAACTGGTCTGTGTGTTTTCAACTCTGCATTTTCTCCCCATCACAGTTAAATTCCTTGAAGTAATCAAGCCCTTCTGTGTTATCTTGCCTGAGATCCAGAAGCCAGAAAGAAAGGTATGCATCCTTCTTTGATTTCTGTTTACGTGAAATTATTTATTAGAGTTAATGCTAAGGTGAAGAACAGAACACTTACTGGATACCAATATAACATGTTGCCTCTTGGTGTTTTGTATGCATACCTGCTCCTCCACCACACATACTGAATCTCCAACTGTGAGAACTGACCTTAAGCTGACATAGGATATAGTTTTGGGGGGAAGTTCTTTTGTCTGTGAACTCATTGGTTTTTCCTTTGTTTGGATTCCATGTCCTATTGTTACTTTCAATGGAAACTGGATAGAACTACTGAGAACTTGGAGGTCCAACTTACTGTTTTGTATTCTGTTATTAGTGTCTCTTCAGCAATTATAGCAATGACAACTAATTACTTTTATAATGTCTCCCTTGTATGTGTAGATCCAGTTCAAAGAAAAGGTGCTATGGACAGCTATCACCCTTTTCATCTTCTTGGTTTGTTGCCAGGTATGTTCATGATACCCATTAAAGCTTTTGCTTAAAATCCAAAGGGAGCTGTATTAATTTTGTCTTCTCTTCATATTTAAATTTAGATCCCCCTTTTTGGTATCATGTCATCAGACTCAGCAGATCCTTTCTATTGGATGAGAGTAATTCTGGCTTCAAACAGAGGTGCGATTGTGGTTCTGTCTGCTGCAAGATTTCATGCTTTAGTTCTGTGTAGTGAAATAAAGTCTAGAAATTTAGATGTTTAAAATCTTGTATGTGATTTTGGAGGTTTGACATGCGTAATATAAACATATAAATGGTGTAACTTTTATACTATATTTCAAGTGTTTTCTGTGCCTACCAAGAATTCTTAAAGTATTGTAATACAGATTCAGAGGTTGGTAGTGGATGAAAATTGGTGGCTGAAGGCCACATAAGGAAATTGTACCTCAAGCAAGCTTCCCAACTGTTTTGTTGTTGTTGTTCAGAGGTGATTTTCCATTGCCTGCCTCTGCAGAGCACCTTGGTGGTCTCTCATCCAAATACTAACCAGGGCTGACCCTGGTTTGCTTCTGAGAACTGATGAGAACGGGATAGCCTGGGCTATCCAGTTCATCACCACTTGACACACAGCACTTCACCTTTGTTCCATTTCAGTGTGCTGCTTCTCTTCTTGGGGGTCCTTTGCTTTCCTCCTCTTCCAAGGACAGAGTGAGCTTGTTACAATGCTCTTTGTTTCAGAAGATACATATTGCAGAGCTTTGTGTGCCTGCACAAATTGCTGCTCAGACCCAGCATCTTTTGAAAAGTAATGTACGCTGCAGAAGCAAATGCTAAGTGAAAAGTTGTATCGCAGTTCTGGGACTATCAGAGCCAAGTTGTTGCATGTAAAGCAGGTATTTGTGGAGTCTAATAGCATAAACTGACTTGCAGCAGTTCTTCTGCAGCCCTCTTCTGATGTCCTTCAGTTGGGGATGGTAGACATGCGATCCGAGAGTAATTCTCATGCTCTACTCGTTGATTCTAGCCTCTGCATTCTCAGTTTCCCTCTTCATGGCGCCCTCTCTTTTTCCAAGAACATTAGCTGCTCCTTACTTCTCTTCCCTCATTTGTGTCTTTCATAATTTTTTCAGGGTGTCTGCCTCTTTTATCAACAGCTCTCGTTTCTCAAATATAAATGTGGAATAAGTGAAATGCAGTGTGGGCTCATTTGCACACTACTTAAAATTGGTACTGTTTCCCACTTTTTCAAAAGTTGTATTTATTTACCATGCAACTAAATAGGGTGAGAAATACTGCTTCTAAAGAATGGGTGGTGAGGCTTAATTTTCCCCATGTAAATTTTTTTTTTACATAGCTGCCTGTAGAGGTGGGTGGGTTTGTGTGTGTGTGAGAGAGAGAGAGTGAAGTTATGTCAGGTTGCCGGCCACTCATGGCGACCCCATGGGGTTTTCAAGGCAAGAAATTATCTGTACCTTCTTCTACATATTGACCCTGGAATTCCTTGGTGGTCTCCCATCCAATTAGTAACCAAGACTGACCCTTGCTTAGTTTCTGAAACTAATGAGATCGGGCTGTCCCAGGTGAGGGCAGACTGTAGCTACCTGAGATAAAATGGGAGGGAGTTTGAGTATAAGCCAATGTTTTTCTTCTCACTTGTCTACCAGCAAGCTATAACTGTTTGGTGTCCTCCTTGTTTCCTCATCTCATAGGCACACTGATGGAGCTGGGTATTTCTCCCATTGTCACTTCCGGACTCATCATGCAATTGCTGGCTGGTGCCAAAATAATTGAAGTTGGAGATACGCCAAAAGACAGAGCTCTCTTCAATGGTGCACAGAAATGTAAGTAGCAGGAGACATTTAAGAGTTTGCCATGCTGGTCAGCTAATACCTTATACGAGGACTGATGATGGACAGTGTGATTATATTGTCTTTGGATGTTTTGCATAAAGGGCTGTTAATTCAGTCTTGTCTTACGATTTTGTTTTACAGTGTTTGGCATGATTATTACCATTGGGCAGTCTATTGTTTATGTAATGACTGGGATGTATGGAGACCCATCAGAGATGGGAGCAGGTATCTGCCTTCTTATTACCATTCAGGTAACTAATATCGCATCACTCTTAACGTTTCAAGGGTGTCAGTGGGGAGTTGTTCGTTTGTTTGCTTTGGTACAGTTCCAGCTGCAGATAAACTGGTTCCCACCCCCTGCCTATTAATAGAATAGAGTGCTCTTGCCAATCAGTCAGAGGTTTCATTGCTGGGAGACCCCAGGCTATATGGAATGCTCATATCTCTGGATACAGTGTGAGTCTGCAGGCAGTTTGTCATCTCTGTACACTGCCTGTAATGGTTGCTAGGCTAGGCAGGACTTGGAATGGAACCTCCCCTTGATTGCTAGATGCTAGGAACAAATTGCAAGGGTGGGTAGCTATCCTATTACGTAGAACCCAGTTTGAGTCCAGTGACACCTTTAAGACCAACAAAGTTTTATTCCAAGTGTAAGCTTTTGCGTGCAAAGCACACTTCTTCAGAGAAAAAAGTGTGCTTTGCGCACAATAACTTACACTTGGAATAAAACTTTGTTGGTCTTACAGGTGTCACTGGACTAAAACTGTGTTCTGCTGCTTCAGACCAACATGGCTACTCTCCTGAATTATCCTGTCCTGTGTTAGAGTGGCCAGCCAGATGGTGCAGAACCAGTGTCTCCAAGGGAGATCTTACCCTGTGTTGATTTTCAGAAAAACAGTGGAAGGTTTCTGTGTGCTGGCAGGTAGGCCATGGGTGGTTGCATTCTTGGCTTTGGACACATCTTGCTTACATACATTCAGCAGCTTTCAGGATCACTTTAAATCTTCCAAGCTTTTAGCACCTGCGCCACCACGTCAGCGTTGTGTGAGGAGAGCCAGTGTGGCTTAGTTGATTTTGAAGGACCTTGGCCAGGGAGGTGTAGAATCAGGTATCCCCTTAATCCCCTTAGGAGCCAGTTTGGTGTAGTGGTTAAGTGCGCGGACTCTAATCTGGGAGAACTGGGTTTGATTCCCCACTCCTCCACTTGCACCTGACTGGATGGCCTTGGGCAAGCCGTAGCCCTGATAAGAGCTGTCCTTGAAAAAAGAGCAGTTTCTGTCAAGAGTTCCCACCCACCTCACAGGGTGTCTGTTGTGGGGAGGGGAAGGGAAAGGAGTTTGTAAACCGCTCTGAGACTCCAATCTCTTCTTCTCTCTTCTTCTTCTTCTTCTTCTTCTTCTTCTTCTTCTTCTTCTTCTTCTTCTTCACCGTTAAGGGTGACACTGGGAAGCTGATCTAAGATTCTCCCCTTCTGTAAGGTGGGGATGGCTGTGGCTTGGCATTTAAAAAAAAAAAAGCATGATTCAGGTGATTTTAGTACTGCCTTGTAAGTGACAGTGTGGTCCACTGCATTGATTTTAGTGACTTAGACTACAGTTAACTGTATATCTGGGTTGTGCCACTAGTAAATACTTCTAATTTTCTTCTTGCAGCTTTTTGTTGCTGGCTTGATAGTTCTCCTTCTTGATGAGCTTCTACAAAAGGGCTATGGCCTTGGCTCTGGCATCTCCCTCTTCATTGCCACTAACATCTGTGAGACAATTGTGTGGAAGGCGTTCAGCCCAACCACCGTGAATACTGGCCGAGGTAATATCGCATTTATGTGTATTTTGTTGCAGTGAAAGTATGCAGGCGTTAATATGCAAATGTTGACTGACTAGGAAAGCTTCACTAGTGTAACTTAATTGTGCAGCTTGCTAACGTAACTCATAACTTAAGGACTTGTATTTAACACTGGGGGTTCTAATGAAAGAAATTGAGTCTTTTAAAAAAAGAGACCTTTTCTTTGTAGTAAGGTGGTTGCTTCTGTGGAAATTTGAGACAGTTTCATCATATTTCCACTGGTGCTCATGTAATATAGAATTCTGTATTACAGTTGTGTAGTCCAGCACTTACCTTCCATAACTGACTTTAAGTGATGTCCAAGTCAGAATATGCCAGTTATCATACATTACCAAGGATCTTAAAGGGATCAAGAGTGGGAGTTAATGGAGACAATGAGTGGTATTCGATTTCTTAATCTGCTCATTTGTTTACTTCATTTATATTCAGCTTTCTTCCCTGGTGGGAACTCAGAGTGGCCTACAACGTTGCCCCCTCCTCCATTTTAGCCTCCTAAGAAACCTGTGAGTTAGGTTAGGCTGAGAGTTTGACTGGCCCAAGGTCATCCAACAAGCTTCCATGGCACGAGTGGGGATTCAGACATGGGTCTCCTGGATCTGACTCTGACACTTTTAACTACTACACTGTGCTGGATCACGGGAAGGTAGAAGTGGTGCACAGGTGCTCTCTCTTGCTTAGCTCAGTTTAAAGCCATGAGCTTCAGAGCACTAATTGGTTTACTGGCTTCCCTAAATGTTTTTGAATTCCTGTTAAACTCTTGTATGAGGGCTGTTTAAGAAACAGCTTCCCCTATACTTGAGCAATTATGGCTCCTCAGCATTTGTGGCTACTGTAACCATGGAAATCATTGGTGTTTATGCCTAGGTAGAGCCTGATTGATACTAATGTTTCCTCAGGCAATCCTGGGTCTTCATATGGTCAAAGGGTTGGAGTACAGTATGTGTAAATACTAGCCGTGTAAGCTGCCTTTTAATCCAATTTCTAGAGTATAAATGTGTATAAACTTCTACCCAGAGATTTTATTGTAGTGAGATGCCCCTTGCCTTCCCAGTCCTCATGCTGATTTCAGAAGGCATCTGAAACTAGAATGATGCATCACTGCTTTTCCTTTCCAAGATGTAGTACAAAGTTGGGGAGAGCCTCTGCTGTTCTCTGAGTTCAAAAGGAAGGCATGGGATCTTAACATAATTATGCTGAGTTTCTTCCTCACTTCATGCGCACACGCTTTGGCTGAGGAAGAAGGCATGGACTCAAGTAATCTGCTGCTCTGTAGGCACACCTCCAAAACTGAGCATAACCCCTTCTCTCTTGTGGGAGGGGTGGGGTCAGTGTTAATCACAACTTGGGTTGTTAAGGCCAGCCAGAATTTGTGGGCCTCTTTCTTATGTCATTGGTCTCAGTTGGATGCAAATTTGCATACTGTTAATTTGAAGCAGCAAAGTAATACCAAGTTACTTGGAACTGACTATCTGTGTTGCACCTTCTCGTTTAAGGCATGGAGTTTGAAGGAGCCATCATTGCTCTATTCCATTTGCTGGCTACTCGTACAGATAAAGTCAGAGCTCTGCGGGAAGCCTTCTACCGTCAGAACCTTCCCAACCTTATGAACCTCATTGCCACCATATTTGTCTTTGCTGTAGTAATTTACTTCCAGGTTAGTAGCACTTCGGTATGGCACCATAACGGTAATCACCTTACACTTCCACTTAGTTCAGCAGCTTTTGTCGTGGCAGAAGGACTATTTTATGTTGGAGGGAGGTGCCTTAAGGCTTAAGGAGGGCTTTAAACTTCACTGAATAAAGTGGTCTGTATGTTCTCTTTACATGTATTCTGGTCATAAGGGTCTTGATACTATTTCAGCCATGAAGTGCAAAATGGATATAACTTTACAAAAAAAAACCCCTTTTCCTTAGAGTATTTAGGTCAACTCTGGCCGTTAGAGGTCATTTTTAAATCAGTGCTGATTCCTTTTTGTAAATAAATTTTTTATTGAGTTTCACCTTTAATAAACATACAAACATAAATCACCATTCTCTTATAAGTCAATACCTCACCCTATTAACATTTGGTTACATACAGTCAATGTCTAGATTCTCTTTAATCTTATATTGCCCAACTATAGTTCCACCTTATATTCCTCGCATTCCTTTTTAAATATCTCTGGTCTTAATAAATCATAATTACCCTATTTACTTTCCTATCTGTATATCTGTATTTTAGATTTTAAATTCATCTTCATTACATACATTTTACTTTTCAAAACATCCATTCAACTGAACTTCAGTTTAATTCCATCCTCAAATCATCTGTTCACCTCTTGTTTTCAACATCATATTTGTCTCTATTCCTGGAGCTCTTCAAAAAAATAATAATACTAATAATACTAATAATAATTTTTCCTTCGGTCTCATTCCAAGATTATTCTTAACAATAAACTAATAAATAATAAAGCTTAAATCCCTCTATTATTAGTAATATCCCTCTTACACACAATATTTTTCATTCTGGCTTAAAGCATTCATTACATTCTCATAAAAGATCACTCTCAATATGTTTTAATCATGAATAATAGATGCACTACCACCAACTTCATCTGATTATTTTATACCAAGATTATCCAAATCAAATTACTTAATTCATATCAAATATTATTTTTATTGAGATCCACTCCTAAGAGATTTTATGTCCTCCTCTCTAATAATTCATCATCCTCAACCATGTATTTTACTTCCAGTCAATAGCCAGTACCCTTGTCTTAATTTATAGTGAATTTATCCACATGCACACACACACACAAAATTACATATATCTATAGATTACATTTTACATCTTTCCAAATCTTAGTTAGATCACTTTTCCTGTCCTACTATTTATTTCATCCCACTATTTTACTTCAACCCTCTTTTAGGGTTCCCAGCATCCTCACCAAAAATAAAGAGGGAGAAGGCAAGTTAAATTCTTTACAATACCAATCCTTGTCACATCTCTATATTTCAGTTCTTTTTTTCCCTGATTTCTTCTGTTCTCTTCTGCATGCCGTTGATCTTTGAACTCCTGCATCCTTATTTCCTCCTTTGCTTCTCCATAATTCCTTGTGGTTAGTTGTATGTTCACGCTATGTTTCTTTAATCCTTTCTTTAGTTTTTTCCTTCTTGTTTGTCTTTTTCCTTTACTTTTAAGTAGAGGCGGCAAACAGTTTTTCCTTGCTGCCGTTTTTAATTTTCCTTGCCCCAACGCAAGTCCTTCTTCTATGTCAGCTTTCTGTAACAATTCCTCTGTATACTCAATCTGTACAGCATACATTTCTCTCTCCTGTTCCGTGTCCCTCATCTCCTCTTTCCCTTGATTCTCCTGTTTTTTTTCATCTTCCTTAGGCTCCCATAATTCATTGCGAAAATTTCTCAACACATTTTCACATGTTACTTTAAATGTCTGTTTCATTTCTTCTAAAAAGTACTTTTGAAACTTTTCCCATTGTTCCCTCGTACAATCGCAAAGTTTTATATCTCCATCAAACTCTTCTCTCTTATTTAGCACCTCCATTTCTCCGTCATTCTCTTCTCTCTTGTCTAACTCCTCCATTTCTTTTCAGTTTAATCAGTCAATTTAATTAACTTTAGTTATCACTGCAACTTTTACCGGGTAATACAAGCATTTTTTCTTACCCTTCGTAAGTCCCGTAATATTTATTTCCCAATCAAGTTCATCGGCCATTTTCTTCACACACACGGGGGGAAAAATAATCATATGGGGTACGTAGTCCTTTCTGCTCGACCAAAATATGCGCAAAATTGGTTTTCCGGAGTGAAGTGTCGAATCCACCACCACAAAAAGAAAAAATAAAGGTTTTAAAAACCGGCGGCTGCGTCTAGGTCGAACACGGAAGTCATGTTCTCCCCTGTTATCGCTCCTGCTTCGGGGCACAGCCGGTCACCCCCCCGCAATTTGCCAGGTCGCGGGAGGGGCCAGAAAAAGCCCCCTGCTCCTGCACTCTGTCTGAGAGTGCTGGTCGGACTCTCCCCATTGCTGGGGGGACCGAAAAAAGCAATAACGGGTCGGGTGGCTCGGAGCCCATCGAGCTCCCGCCCGCCCGTCGTCGCGCCGAAACCGGAACTCAAATCAGTGCTGATTCCTAATGAAATAACTTGTGACCAGTAATATTTCTGAATGGTTCTTAAATGTTAAGCTTATTCCTTGTTTCTACAAATATAACCAATTAGACATCAGTGATTTGCTGGTAATATGAAGGACATCAGTTTCTGTAGCAGCTAGGTCTGCTATAATCATCCAAAACATATGTGGCCAGCATGTATATTTAATTGATGTTGGACTTATAAGGTGTCAGTGATATTCTACACCAAACATGACATTTCCAGGTTTATATGGTTTAATAGTTTTCCTAGTATGCATTTGTTGATTCAACTCTCATTTTACTATCTAATTTTCTTAGGGATTCAGAGTGGACCTTCCTATAAAATCTGCCCGTTATCGTGGCCAGTACAATACTTATCCTATCAAACTGTTTTACACCTCCAATATTCCCATCATTCTGCAGTCTGCGCTGGTGTCCAACTTGTATGTGATCTCCCAGATGCTTTCTGCCCGTTTCAGTGGCAACTTATTGGTTAGCTTGCTGGGTACTTGGTCTGTAAGTATTTTCATATTATTTATGATATGTTTACATCATAGTGTCCTCTATCAGATGTTGCCACTCTGATGATAAATGTGCCCTAGTTTTTATAGCAAAGGTGCACAGAAGAAGGCTGAGTGCTCAGCATATGCTGATTCTCTTATGATAAGATCATAAGAATGTAAGAGAAGCCAATGTTGGATCAGGCCAGTGGCCCATCCAGTCCAACACTGTGTCACACAGTGGCCAGAAATACCAGGTGCCATCAGGAGGTCCATCAGTGGGGCCAGGACACTAGAAGCCCTCCCACTCTTGCCCCCCCCAAGCACCAAGAATACAGTGCATCACCTGCCCCATCCTGTGAGTTCCTATCTATACCTTGTGGCTAATAGCCACTGATGGACCTCTGCTCCATATGTTTATCCAGTTCCCTCTTGAAGCTGTCCATTCATGTGGATTTTTAATACTGCACATATACTTGCTGGTTTTGTCCCCTTGTCGGCTCCTCTATGCTTTTTCTTGCAGTAGTTATAATGGATTTTCTTATTGTCCACATATATGTGGAAATCTGTAAAAATAGCAAAATGTGTATGCTGAGGTAGCTGCACAAACATCGCACATTCAAGAAAGCTCATGCATTTAAGAAAGCTCAATCAAATATCTAAATGTATCAACTTATGTTACAGGACACATCATCTGGAGGCCCTGCTCGTTCATACCCTGTTGGTGGACTTTGTTATTACTTATCGCCTCCAGAGTCTTTCACTTCGGTGTTGGAAGACCCTGTTCATGCGGTTGTTTACATTGTGTTTATGTTGGGCTCCTGTGCTTTCTTCTCTAAAACCTGGATTGAAGTCTCTGGCTCCTCTGCCAAGGATGTAAGTAAAGAACACAGATATCACCATTCTGGATACTAATTTCCTATCTCTGCCAAGGGACAGAGCACCCGAAGCTCTATAGCTTCTAACAAATAGTGTTATCACTAAAGAAATAGATCTGATGCTTCCTGAAATCACTATTACTTAAAAAGGCAGCATTCCAGCAAACTGTCTTTCATTTAAAAACATTACAGCATAATACTGCCCTTCATGCTCAGATTTCTAAACAGTTCACCTTCCTGAGCTGAGAGAGATTGTATCCAGCATATGTATATGCCTGGGGTGGGTCTTTTGGGAGGTACTATGTAAGTTTTCTAAATAAATTACTGGTATAGAAGTAAACTCTGCACCTCCATCAGGTAAAAGTAGTTTTTGGCCTTCAAAGATTTATGCCACAATATATATTTGATCTTTAAGGCTACGGGACACTCAGTTTGAGCTTGTGACTTACAGTAATAAATGAACTGTAACAATTTGGATGCTGTAGAAGAACTCTACTAACAGAAGGTATTTGTCAGTGGAGTGGGAGTTCCTAACCTCCCCCTTCCCATTGCAGTCAAGAATTCCTTCCAAAATGCTGTTCCTGAAGGGTGCAGGATTTGGCAAAAATCTCTCCCCCTGCCATCAGTAGAAATTTTTTACTGAATCTAACTGCTTTCCATAGGCAGTGTATAAAGGCATCCACTGAATTACCCTTATATACTTTTTAGTTTGGTATTTAGAATTAATTAGTATATAAATTCTCTAAATTAATACTTGTGAAATTGTTAACTGCAGAACCCTAGCTTTACCTGTTTTGTAATCCTTTGGAAATGCTGACATTCTTTCTCCTTTGTTATAGGCAAGTGATGATCAGTTTAAATTAAGGAAACTAAACTACATTTATTAATTTTGTTGGGAATGCAGGTTGCTAAACAACTAAAAGAACAGCAGATGGTGATGAGGGGTCATAGAGAAACGTCCATGGTTCATGAACTTAACAGGTGAGTTACACATCTGCGCAGATTTAGTTTATTCCAGTATTTGTGATTATTCCTGTCCTTTACTTTCAGGTTTTGTGCTCCTGCAGTATGCTAGATTTCTGCATGCTATTGTTTATGAAACATTCCTAATACCTACTTGCATTATTGTTGTTGTTATTATTATTATTATTTCAGTGTATACCCCATCCTCCCCACCAAGGCAGGCTCAGGGCAGTTTACATAAGAAATAAATACATAGATAACAGTTACATTTATCATAAAACCATCTAAAAGTGGTTCCTTATAAAACAATTCAATATCATAAAGTGCTCGCAGTGTCTGTTTTAATGCAGTTGTTTAACAATGGTGTACCATATGTGTGCATTCAGTGATCTATCTGAATATTCAGCTCATTAATCTTTCCCTGATGTAATCGGCAGGCACAGGCTGTGGGTGGCAAAACCTCGGGGGGCAGGGCTTTTCAGTTGTTGTTGTTGGTGGCTCCTTAATTGAAGGCCTGGTAGAAGAGCTCCATCTTACAGGTGCTGTGGAACTGTAAAAGGCCCCACAGGGCCCTGATCTCTTCTGGGAGCTCATTCCACTAGTATGGAGCCACCACCGAGAAGGCCTTGCCCTGGTTATGGCCAGTTGAGCTGCTGACCATAGTGCTCTCTGGGTTACATGTGGGGAAAGGTATGTTGGACCCTGGCCATAAAACCAGCACCTTGAAGCGAATTCAGTATGCTATTGGCAGCCAGTGCAATGCCTTCAGCACAGGCTGGATGTGCTTCCACATGTGGAGGCCCATCAAAAGCCTGGCCACAGCATTTTGCACTAGCGGCAGCTTCCGGATTTGCGACATGGGCAGTACCATGTAGTCCAATCTCAAAGTGACTATCGCATGGATCACTGTTGCCAAGTCGTTCCGGTCAAGGAAGGGAACCACAACTGCCTAATCAGCCAAAGATGGTAAAAGGCCGACTTGTCAGTGGCTGCTACCTGGGCCTCTTTGCTTAAGGAGGCATCCAAGAGCACTCTCAAACTCCTAACCAATGGCGCCCCATCAAAGATTGGGAGTGAGATCCCTACCCCTGGACCGGCTCAGGCACAAGACCTCATCTTTGTCGGATTCAATTTCAGTCAGCTCGGTCTAAGCCAACCAGCCACGGCTTGTAACGCCCAGTCCAGATTTTCCGATCTGGAGTCAGACCAGCCGCCCCACAACAGATAGAGCTGGGTGTCACCCACATACTGGTGACATCCCAGCCCATGCCTCCAGGCAATCTGGGCAAAGGGTGTACCATATGGTACCGATGTTAAATAGCATCGGGGAAAGCACCGCCCCTTGAGGCACTTCACAATCCAGTGGGTGCCTTCGGGATAGCTGTTCCCCTAGTGCCACCCTTTGTCCCTGACTTTGGAGAAAAGAGGCAAGCCATTGCAAGGCAAGCCCCTGGACTCCTGTGTTGGTGAGGCAGTAGATCAGTAACTGATGGTTGACCGTGTCAAACGCTGCTGACAGATCCAACAACAACGGCACTGCCGATCTGCCCCGATCCAGATGCCTCCGGAGCTTGTCCATGAGGGCGACCAGTGCCATCTCCGTCCCATGGTCCGAGCAAAAACTGGACTGGAAGGGGTCTAAGATGGAAATGTTCAAAAAGGACAACGTTCAAGCCCTTGTGTCTGTAGACATTTTTGAAAAGAAAAGGTCATAATTTGGCAGTCTTGTTAAGTATCTGGACTCATCAGATGGTTTAAATCTGTTTGCCGTTTTTCCTGCCTTGATCCTGGTATGGAAAATGTTTTTCCATGGGCTCAAGTTCATTCAGGGGTCTCTGTGCTTGTAGATGCTGACTTTTTTTTAGCATTTTGGTCTGACTAGAATTTTCTCTCTCCCCCCCCCCCCCCCCCTTCAATTTTGTGTTTTTGTCAGGTACATCCCTACAGCTGCTGCATTCGGTGGCCTCTGCATTGGTGCTCTCTCTGTACTGGCAGACTTCCTTGGGGCAATTGGATCAGGCACTGGAATCCTACTGGCTGTCACCATCATTTACCAGTATTTTGAAATCTTTGTAAAGGAGCAGAGTGAAGTTGGCAGCATGGGAGCGCTTCTTTTCTAAATACATTGTCCCATGGACCCTAGGGGAGGATGAAGTGTCTTCTTGAATTAAAAAAAAAATCAGGTTGAACAAATTAAAGCATCACACTAACACGGGCACATCACATTAATAGGAACACATTTTAATGTTTTCCAAAGCACATTCCTTTGGTTCAGACTTTGTTTATACTGTTGTCCTTTTTTAAATTGTTGGAAAACATGCAAAAAATCCTTTTTAGAAAACAAGGTTTGGTTCTTTTTCCTAAAATGGGTTTAATTTAACAGTATTTGTTTTTAAAAAAACCTCCATAGAATATTGGAGCTCTTCCCGTTTCAAAAAATAGGTGTGGGAGGGGACTTTTTGGTTGCAATACATTGTCTGTCTCCTTTACAGTGACCGTTGAGAGGCATCTCTTCTCTCTGCTGCTTCCTTGTATCTGTCCAATTATCATTGGAAGTACAGATGTGTTCACTTCCCCCAAGGTATTGCAGATTTGGGCAGGGTCTTAGACTGCCAGATGTTTCATCAGGTATGCTGTCTTGTGCCTAAGTGCAGTCCATTGGCTTCTGACTATCTCACTTCTTCAGGGCCTGATCATTTGTTCTGGCCTTTCAGTAGAACTCTCAAGTCAGTCTAGGCTACTTAATGGAAAGAAATGTTATGCCTTAGAACTGTAAATTGACATATACCCATCATACTGTACCAAACATGAAGCCTGCAATTTCTTAGGCAGATCACTGTGTTTGTATTCTTTTTGTATCCTGACACAAAGTGCATGATGGGATGGTGCTGAAATATTGCAGGACCATGCCTCTCTATATTGTTTCCTTAAATGCTTTCAAGTGTAAAAGTGTGACATAAGGAAAAGACTGAAACTTTCACAGAAGCTGTTGGCATCTAGCCTATTGTAGCTCAGCCTCTGCACTAGGAAGTTGTCAGTACTAGTGACATGGATGATACTAGTCAAAATGCTGCGGTGGAGTATCTCAAGCAGCATGTGGAAGCTACAAGGGGAGATCCCACTTGGAATTAATACATAATAGGGTAGGGGAATGTTCGGCTCTAAAGGGAGAAAGATCAGGCTTTTATTTCATTTAAAACATTTCTGTGCCATCTTTCCACCCAACTCAGAGTCCTAAGGGCAGTGAACATTAAAACATTTCAAACAGTGTTTATAAAATACATATTTAAAACAGGACCCATAAACATACTGGGGGAGAAGGGTAGAGATGTACATTTTATGGAAATTTTGAAGTCATGAGGGAGAACAGTTTTTTTCTGGGAGGGAATGGAAGTTTTGGGGAAAGTTGAAAATATGCAATACTTATTGTCCTAGCAAACCTAAACTAATTTTGGCGTATGAAATTGCAATATTTGACATTTATGGAATTTAAGTTATAAGTGCCTTGGGTTTATACAAGGAAAATTGCAAAAAATACCCAGTACTTGAGAGAAAACTGCAAGCTGATGCACCCTATGCCATTATTAGCACATGTACTTTTAATGTATGCTATCCAGTTAGAAAGAGTTCAGTTCTCAACTAAACTTTCTTCTGAGGTTTTGGTGCAGTTTCTGTTCCACCTCCCTCTGAATGTTTTTTCTCCCTCCTGCAAGGTAGGGCGATAAGCTGCTTTTTACCCAATGTGTGACAGTGGTTTGAGGTGAAAAGGTTGACCACGTCAAGTCAAAAGGAAAACAGAAGGCATACAACTGTTGAGAAGCAATGAAAGCCCTGCATGCTCCCCACATGATGATTAGACATCCTTCTAAGTTCAGAAATGCATCTTAGATTTAACAGCTATATATGTCTATGGTATGCCTACCTTGTCTCTGAAAGCATTTCATTCATTTTAGAAGAGAAAATACTTTAGGAATTTGTTTCAGTACCGCCCGCAATTTCTAAGCTGTACAGAAATGTAATAATCTGAAGATGACTGGATTGGTCAGGTAGGTTCATATGGAAGCAGGCTATCCTTAAAGTGTGCTGGCCACAAACATGCGTGAATTTAAAGGTCAGTACCAGCACTTTGAATTGTGTCTGAAAGCAAAGAGGGAATTGCTGTATATTGAACAAGACTGGAGTGATATCCAGACCCATAATCAGCATTTTATGGCTTGGGGGGGGGGGAAATGCTGGTGGGTCTTGAGGAGCACGGGGAAGGCAGGTGGGGCTCCTTGCAGACTTACCAGGACAGGGACAAAGTGCTCCTCCTCTGACCTCCCGCAATATCTCCGGCAATTTGCAGCCCCTTTGGTGTATCAGGGCAGCAGCTGCCACCCCCCCCCCCCACTCCTCGGTCTTCCATCAAGGTGACTCCTGGCCAGGCTGGTTGCTTCACTGGGAATCCAGGTGCTCATTGGCCTGCACGGCCACGGATGTGCTCCATACTGGCGGTCTGGGGAAGTGGGCCACCACCTCCTCCCAAAGAAGAGGAAGCGGACATTGTGTGCTCGACAGAAAGCTCGTGGGCCTTTTTCAGTCCTTATGGAAACATTTTCTTGCTGCCGTGGCTCTTCTTGAAGGAGGGTGACCTTGCCCGCTCCCCCCGCTCCTCCCACTTCCTTCTCCTCTGCCTGCAGGCCCCTTGCTTTCAGTTGGCTGGGTGGCAAACTGCAGCAGGGCTGGCCCTCTCTTCCAGGCCAGAGCCATGGCTGCAGTGGGCCAGCCAAGAACAAGAGCGCAGTCACCTGTTCCAGGGACCAGGAGCCTGAATAGCTGCAGGTAGGTGTGGGAGTGTGCCTTTTAAAATTTTAAATGATTAAAAGTAACATTTTGACGAGATCTTGTTGGGCTGGCCCTTTAAGGAACGGGGTGGAGCCCTGAATAGCCCCACTGTGGCTACGGCTTATTGCAGCAATCTAAGCTAAGTGTTACCAAGGTGTACACCATAGTGGCAAGATCATTTTAGGTCAGCCACTGAATTCTGGACTTTCATTCCTTAAATGCCTTGTGAAAGACATGCTATTGTGTATCTCATTTCCTAGGGCTGGGTCCTTTGTATACTATTTCTAGTGTGTGCACCTTGAACAAAGTTAGATTGTCCACAAGCAAAGTGCAGCATTCAAAAGGCCTGGTCCACTTGAAAACAGGCTCAGCATTGAAATGACAGAGTGAAGCCATTGTTAGTAACCTAAGTACTCTGGCAAGAACAGGTGGTTAAACCTAGGCAAAACCGTGGCCATCTTAAAAATCAAAAACGAGCACTGGAAGTTGAGTTTTAAATAACTGAATGCCAGTACAGCTCATATAGTACAGGCATTACACGTTCATATAAAGACACTGTGACAGGTTTCTGGTAACTGGCTGCTACTACATTTTGTGCCAAATGTAATTTATAAACATTTCCCAAAGAGATCTGTAAAGTGCATTGCCAGTAATTGAGTTACCAGTGCAACAATGGTCAGATTCCCCCACCCCCATAAGGAGGGCCGCAGCTTGTAGACTAGTCTAAGCTAAGCAAAACAAACCCCCAAACCTGTCCTGAATACCATACCAGCCCTCCATTGTTATCGATGCATTTATCACATATATGTTTTTTTTCTCTTGAAGAAACGTTTGCTGATTCTCTTCGCACCCGTTCCCAAATGTCCCCCGATGTTCAGAAGTACAATTTTGGGAGGCTCAGTGGCCTACTGTGGCAGGAAGAGTCTTGTTTTGCTTGCCCTCCTGGATTCAACCGACATATGTTTCAGTCTCTCGAATCAAATGCAACATTGTATTATATGTTTCCTAATGTCCTTGAGAACAAGTCAGCAGGCATGAAGCTCTACAGAAATGCAATAATCCCTAAGGAGAGCTCTTTATCATTAGCCCATTTTGCAGGTGGGGGGCTGTCAGTGTGTAAGGTCAGTTGTGAGTGGATGGCAGAGGTGAGATTTGGATTGGGCATTTCTTGAATTTATATCTCAGTGCCCCTGTTATCATGTCCGCCTCAAGCAACAGAGATCAAGCTTGGCATCCTTGAAATGCAATATATATTTACTGCAGGTGCCCACATTCATTCTGATAGCAGTTTTCTAGAGAGACACCACATTGCTTTGCATTTCTCTTCGCTCTACCCTACCCAAATAGATGTGGGTATGAGCTGGTATTTGAATTCATGTATATCAATAGCGTTCCCATATTACAAGCAAACATATATATATTTCAAATGCCAAGTGGACCAGTCGTTAAAGCCAAGGTCCCACTTTTCTCAGTCACTAAGCAAATAGGTACCTAGTGCCTGAAAGTGTCTGCCCCTATGACTGCATAAAAAGCTAAGGCTTTTTACTGTCATTGGTCTTTTACGTTCTTGAAAAGACTTTCCAGTCGTGATCCACTTAGAATGTGTGTTTCATGGAAGCTGCCTATAGCACTAAGTCTCTGCAAACTCAAAAGCGCTGGTAGATTTCTTGAAACACACATTAGAGTGGTAACTAATCTTACATAACGTGTTGCTATTGCCAAGTGAGCACTGTGGCCAGAATTTTTTTTTGTTTTTGGGGGGGCAAATTGGAGGTAGCTCCATCCACACTGCAGCTTGCTCACGTCAATGGCAGCATGAGCCCGGGGTGGGGTGGGGGTGGTGGACTCGAGCTCAAGTCCCCCTGCGGCTCAGACTCCCAGCGGAGGGGAAGGAGAGGGGTGCCTGCTGCATGGCCTCACCTGGCTGGCATCTCAAACTTTGAGAAGCCAGCTGTGGAAGCAGGAAGACCCAGGAAGGCTGCCCCTCTCCTTCCCCTGAGAGGGCTGGGCATATTCGGGAGGGGGGGCCCGCATCATTCTTGTCAGTTCCCCCCCCCCCCCCCGGTGGCCAAGGGTCTGCCGAGTGACACTTTATTTCAGTCTTCCCTTTTGAGTCAGAGGGTCCTTAGGCTCCCAAGTTTATATTGTGTATCACCTAGGCCCCATGCAGCATATTGTGACACTTCCCACCCCCACTGGAGCAAGGCCAGCCCTACCCAACAGGCAAATCAGGCAATGATCAGTGGGTTTCCAAATTACATTGGAAACAAAGGGTATATGTTTTACTCCTAATAGCTTGATGCTTTTTTCCTGTACTCTGCATTCAAACCCTCCCCAAATCTCGTAAGTTGCCTCTGATTGGTGGTAACTGAATCAGTAGGTGTGGACACTGACAACTCTCCAAAGGAACTACATATCCCTTTGTTGTTGTAGTTTTTGAACTGCAATGTAGCAGTTTCTGGTACCACACCAACTTAACAGCTGCCCTCAGTCTATCCTAAACATACTGAGTGATCCATTGTATACAGCCAGGCTCTGTGCTACAGGCGCATCTGCTCAAATTCTGTAGACAGAGATTCTCACCTGAGGGATCTACAACAAACCTTTTTGGAACTAAAGTATCCACCTGATTAAGTCAAGAAACAGATTAACAAAGCCAGAATGGTACCCAGAGAAAACCTGTTGCAAGACAGGCTAGGGTTGCCAGCTTCCATCTTCTCCCCCATGGGGAGATTTAAAGGGGGGGGGGTGTTCCAGAAAGGGACACGGCCATCCTGACACGACATCATGCAGAGTGACGTCATCGCATCAGGGATGCAGCACTGTGCTTTCCCCCTTCCCTTTAAATTGATAGAGGGAAAGCAGGAGCAATGGCCGCTGTGTTCACCTGCCCTGCAACCTGCAAATTCGCAGGGTCGTGGATGATAGTTGGGGGCAAGGCTTCCCCCGCTGGCTGGCATCTGGGGAGAGCTCCCAAAATTAGGGATCCTCCGCCACTACCTGGGGACT